AATAAATGACTTCCAAAACTTTTTATTGTTTATAACCGAATTTTTTTTTTTTTTTAATTTATTTAGGTGCCGCAAGAAGTCCTTATGACATTATGAGCATTTGATCGGAAGTTCAATTATAAACAATTATACCATAATAAAAACTAGGGATTCCCAGTGGGCACCGGACCTTAAGAAGACGTCTTTTGAACGTCCAAAAGACCTCCAAAACGTTCAAAAGACGTCCATAACGTGTGTAAGACGTTTAAAAGACTTTTTTTTATGTCTGTGTCCATGTCCACTGGGTTAATTTACACTAAATAATTACAGAGCTATCTCAATTCTTCCTGTTTTTACAAAATTTTTAGAGCGAGTAATCAATGACAAACTATATAAATACCTTGATAACAAAAAAACTTTAAATGAAAAACAATTTGGTATATAAAAACAACACTCAACCTCAAATAGCTATGATATTGTAATGTTTGCAGATAATACTAATTTATTTTATACATCTTTTAGGGGTGACTCACTTTGATGTAAAAACGCGAATTACTTATAAGCGTAAATTACTTTACATAAATCATATTAAAATATATAATTTAATTACATTTAAAAGTAATTCGTTTTTTTTTTAAATAAACTGTATAACGTGTAAAACGTAACTACTTAAGTTTTGTTGTTTAAATGAGTAACTGTTACATTAAAAAGTAATTTATTTTTACAAGTAATAGTAATTTGCTACTTTTACTTGTAAATATAACTTTTCGTGGTAAGTCGTGTAAAGTAAATATCCTTTGAAAAGTAATTTTGGTTATAATTATGTAAGAAACTAACTTCAAAATAATTTTTTTTTTATATTTGTAAAAGAAATTATTTATGAAGTAATCTTATATAAATAATATATTTAAAAAACATAACACTTACTTTACAATGTAAAAGAAAACTACATCATAAAAATAAATTACTTTTATGTGTAAAGATAAATTACTTTTATGTGTAAAAATATATTACTTTTATGTGTAAAGATAAATTACTTTTATGTGTAAAAATAAATTACTTTTATTTGTAAAAATAACTAATTAGGAAAGATAACTTACGTAAAAACAATTTGAAAAAAATTGTTATTTACAATTACAAATAAAACTAAATTTTGTTTTTGAAATTTTATACTTTACTTTGTAAGTAAGTAAAATGTTGTATTATTTACTTTCTCAAAAAACAGCCATTTCATGTTTGTTTAACGTAAATTTCATTATATGAAGCGTATTTAAGCCCATTGTTTGTTTTTGGGCACTTTTGGCTATTAACTCAGATAACACTTTGATGTAAGTGGGCAGTTTTTGTGATGGGGAATTGTGAAAGGATTTCTTTTCACGTATATCATGAAGGATGTTTCTATGATAATTAGGAGCAAATAAAGTCAACATGCAGATATATGTGCGGTCGTGGCGCAGTAGTTAGAGCATATTTCCCATATTTCGCATCACGACGTATTTCGCGTCACGGTAAGGAGGACATATTTTGGTCGGGAAAGGTGGACATATTTCGCGGTACGGTAATGAAGACATATTTCGCGTCGCGGTAAGGAAGACATATTTCGCGTCACGGACATATTTCGAGTCACGGTAAGGAAGGAGGTGTGAACTTGTTAGAGCTCATCAGGCGTATTCAAATCTCTCCGTTAAACTAACGGAGAATGTGAGCGTTCTTTAAGAAATATAATATAAAAAGACATCATAAAGCAGCCTTATATCTTTATTTATTAATGGTAGAGTAAAATATCTTGAATAAGAGACTGAAAAATTACTTTATTATAAAAAAACAGTAAGTTTCGTGTTTTTATCGAGTTAAGCGTAAATATTTTATATAGACCCAGGGCCCTGGAGTGGACAAAAACTTGCTGCTGCAAAATTAATTTGCACGTTGTAAGGAGGCCCCCTCCTTACAACTATTATTTTATTAAGAATTCAGAACTTTATAATAATAAACTTTACACCACTTATATACGCCTACATCTCGAGTTTGCAGTTACTGCCTGGTGCCCGCATCTTGAAAAAGACATAAATGTCATAGAACGTGTTCAGCACCGGGTTACCAAAGTACCGCACGAAATAAAGCGCTTCGATTACGAGACAAGATGCATCAAACTCGGTCTCACCTCTCTATTAAATAGACGTTTACGCAGCGACCTCATTCAAAAATATAAATACGAAAACAGTATCGACTCAATTAGCTGGCATATAGATCCACCTAACATCCCACCTAGCTACGGTCATCGCAAGCGTTTTCATCGTGAATTGGACAACAACTGCCTCGTTCGCTATAATTCCTTCAACAACCGCGTCGCTCACCCATGGAACGCATTACCTAACGTAGTAGTCAGTGCTACCAGTGTCGATTGCTTCAAAGCAAAATTCGATCAGCTTTAATAATTACTACAGCGCATCATCTTCCGTGCAATTTCGCACGTTGATGGGCTTACGGAACACGCCCGCTCCGTGTAATTTAACTTCAACTTACTAACTTAACTAACTAATAATAATAAGCACTAGTTTATTAGAAGGCAGTGTCTTCCAACCAGAGATGTTCAGAAATATTTAATTGGGCTGGAAATTTTATTATACAAAATAAAATCAGTTTTTTCCCTTAAAAAAAATGCAGCGAACTATCAGTGAAAAAATGTTCCAAGACGCAGTAAAAAATTAAATAGGATTTTCCATTAAATAAATAGATTGCTAGCCTATACCAAACCCTTAGTCAATGCATGTGCACTCCACTACGCCTATCCCTATATTAGTTAATGTATGTACACTTCATTGCGCCTATCCCTAAGCTACTAAATGTATTTACACTTCACTGCGTCTATCCCTAAATTAGTAAATGAATGTACACTTCACTGCGCCTATTCCTAAATTTGTAAATGCATGTACATTCTTCGGTGCCTATTCTTAAATCAGTCAGTGTATGAACACTCCATTTCGTCTATTAATGCATGAACACTCATTGTGCTATTCTCAACGCATATCCCTAAATAATTGAGTAAATAAATAACCATAATAGTATAAAACATAAAAAACAATTAAAAAAATGTTGTAAATTTAATAAATATAGAAAAAAACATTTAAAACTTGATATATATCCCTCGAGTGGGATTGGAATCCGGAGCGCTTTCGTACTGCAGGTTTAAAAACAAATTTAATTAGCTATTTTATTGTGACATGTGATATTTTTTAACCAATTAAAAAAAACTTTCGGTAGGATAATTTTAATTTTTCCACTACCGTCTTTCGGTAGGTTATCCACAGCGAATAGGCTATCCACTGCGATAAGCGTTGCAAATAATTGTGTTGATTGTAAAACGATGTCTGCGCATTAATTACATATTGTGTTGCATGAGAAATTTCTTCACTTAGTGATCGACCAAAATTCTGTTTCGGTATCTGTTTCGGCCGAAATTTCAATTTGAACCGATGCCGAGATTTCGGTTTCGGTACTTTTTTCACTTTTTTAACATACCGAAAACCGAAATATTTGAAAAATTTAAAACTTTTACCTTTAGAAAACTGTTATTTTTTTGAATTCTCACATAATATTTTTAGAATTTTCAGATTTTTTTTTTAATTTTCACAAAACACCTCAAATCTTGTTTTTAGAGAAAATCTGCCAGTTGTTAACCTTTTCTATAAAGTTCGCCAACTTATTAAATCTCAATTTGTGATACAGGTGTTGACCGAATTATCATTTAAGGAAGGGGATAAAGTGAAAGTAAATATGTAAAATAAAGTGAAGAAACTGATTAGGATATTTTAATGAAAGAGCGGAAGCATACCCGTTTTATTAGATAACATAATGAAACTATTTAATCCACTATTTGTAGAAACATAAAAAATTGAAATTAAAACACTCGCAATAAGAGTTTTTTTTTCGGCAACACGAAAAACTTTTCTCTTCCTTTGAAAACTTTGAATAGCTGTCTTTATGTTAGTTAAGAACTGAAAAATATCAAGTTATTTAAAAGTTTCGATCTTGCTTGCTTATAGTGAAATTTTACAAGATTTTGCAAGATTACAAAATTTTACAAGATTTGGCAAGAAAATAAAACAAAAAAACTTATGTACGCAGAAGGGAAAGAAGTTTTTCAAAGCTTACATTTGGTACAATAGGAATCGGGGTCCAAAATCAGTCGACTTTATGGATGCTATATGAAAAAAAAAGACAGTTTGTTAGGCCTTGTTTTTTTTAAAGAGTTATACTCGTTAATTTAAACTTTCTTATATTGAGAATATCTAAGATGATACACGCAACCATTAAGAAACATTTTAACTTAATTGCCGTATGGTGTTCACTTAACAAAAACTTTTTTATCCATTAAATATCTAAAAAAGTTACTGGTTCTTTTGTTTCTTTTGTTGTTAATTATTCCTTAACAATTTTTAAATTAATTTTATTGTGCATTTTCGTAAAGATTTTTGCTGGTGTTACGAAATTTGTACTTAATTTTATGTCTATATTTTATTATATATATTTTATTTTTACATTTTTACAATTTTATGTCTATATTTTATTATATATATTTTATTTTTACCGTAATTTTATACCGCTTTTGAACAGATAATGGAATTGTTTCGCAGTTTTTTTCTCCGCAAACGATTTTTTCAAAATTCTTTTACTTTTCATTTTTATAAAGGAAATAAAATGTAAAATAATAAATGAGTTAGTAATATAGAATTTCTAACTGGTAGCTGATTAATAAATTTGCAAATAATTTATATTTATAATTTTTATGATGCAACTTGGTAGGTTTTCAGGTAGGTTAAGATGCATGTCTTGCAATTTGACAAACAACCCAAGAATTTATTGTAGTAAATCGGCGGTTTTTATAAATCATTTTTTAATCTTTCAATCAGATGGACCCTAACCTAGGCGGTTATAACTTTAACTCTAATGGTTTGCGTCTAGTCATACTGCACACTTAGGTAATTATCGAGAAATCAAAGTTTATTTAATTATAGTTTGATAGTGATAAACTGTATATTTGGTCAAACGTGAATGTCGTAAACGTCCTAGTTTAGCCAAGTTTTTTAAGTTACTGCAGCGAAACATCTGAAGTTAGATTTTCATTTAAAAATGTGATGATACGGAAATTGTATCGTCGTTATCTGCTGTTAAAACCTTGGACATAATACATATGTTCTGCTCTTCAATTACAATTACTTAAGTTGCATTGAATCATTTGCAACACATGGTAGAAATCGTTTTATAACTAACATTTATAGTAGTTAGTTGTGTAACTTGTATTAAACTAGATAAATTTTGTAAAAGTAATTATTTGGTTCAAATATTCATACCATTTTACACTTTTGAAAATATTTTATGGTTTTGTCTTTTTAATAGTAGTTTGGTTTTATTCTTTTTTTCAAGATAATAATATCTTGGTTAAATAAATCAATTTTATAAATAAAAATCATCAAAAACTTTTCTATATATTTAGCCCGATATTTGAGTTTATTGTTTTGTATAATTCTAAAAATTATCTAGAAAAGTAATATAAAGTTCTTACAATTTGTCTTAAATTTTAAATTCAGCAGAATCATTTTTTGTTGACAAAGCTTATAAATAATAATAAAATTTCAATTTCAAAATATGAATAAAGTTTCTAAAAAATCAAATATTAGAGTCTGATTTAGATTCTAGCATAAACAAAAGTTACTGGATAAAAACAGTTTGCCATCTACAGTAAATAGCAAACTGTTTTCGATGTAGATGATGATCGACGATATGACGTTATGATAATAATGATGATTGATGACCAAGCAAATACTTTTTAGAGATTGAGTATGGAATTAATATAGCAGATGATTTACTATATTGTTTCCATACTCTATCTTTTTAAACCATTATTGTCCATATAAAATGCTGTTGTCATCTTTTAGTTAGTTCTTCTAATGAATTGTACTCTCTTTTAACTGATTTTAACACATTTTAAATATAGTAGAGCCTGCTCTAGTGCCAAGCTTTTTTTCTCTTTTCTACAAACTACACTATGATTGATGCTGAAATGAGCTATATTTTGTTGTCAATCAAAGTACAACCTTAATCAGAAAAATTGCATCATTTTCCTGTAACGGTTGCTGTATGCTCAAGCACATTTATTTCTATTGATATCCTGCCTTCATGGTTTTTTGATGCAAAGAATTAACTACTGCGTGCTTAATACAAGGGAGTGGGAATTTGTGTGTGTGTGTGAGTGGGGGGGGGGGAGGTATATATACATATGTATATATTCTTATTTATTTATTGTTAGTTTAAAGATGTTTTTATGTTGATAACAAGTTAAAATTGATAAATAGGGGGGGGGGAGGTTTTATTTAATTTGGGCTGGAAAAAATTCCAAAATTAATAAACATCCTCTCCCGTATATTAAGCACCTAAGAGAACAACATTTAAAATCATCATTTTACCATTATTTGTTTATTTATCTCTTTAATTTTTAATAACTTTAAACTTATATGTTGATTGCTTCTTTGTTGGAAAGAATTTTTTTTCAAAAACAGTCATAAATTTAATGTCAGTATGTTTGTATGCATTATCATAAAATGCTGATCACATCATAAGTTATTTAAGTTAAAAAATTTGAAGCTTATATTAATGATTAAGAACCAGTTTTTATGTTGTCAAATGACAAACCAGTATACAGTGTTTATTTTTGAAAGCCTAAAAGCTTTTAAAACTAAACACTACATGCTGGTTTAAATAAATCAATAGTATTTAATATAAATACTGTTGATTAATAGCATTTGGAATAAATATATTAATACTGGTTTTATTTAATATCAAGGTTTTTTCTATATCATGTTAGATAAAATATAAACTGGGATTGACTCCAAAAAATTTATGTTTTTGAAAAATGATACTAAGCATTATAAAAATAATAATGCCATTAGCTTTTTTTAAGTCAGATTTTTTCTGGTTTGAATTTTAAGTTATGTTTTTTAAGACATTAAATTTAAAAAAAAAAAACTTTTCTCAAGTTTTATTTTTTATAAAGTCAGATTTTACTCTGGTTTTTGTCATCAGATGTTTGAAGCGACTATAAATATACGACTGGAAATAATTTACTGTAAATATAGTCATACAGACAGATATGGAATGAGACCATTTTTTATAGCATTTAAAAATATTTAAGTTTTGCATTTAGTATTAAGTTTTCTTGCAGCAAAATGTTTGAACAGTTTTATAAAATATATTGTTTAGTTTGGATTTTGGAAAAAAATATCATTTAATCATACTTTAATGTTTTTTAACATGGTTTGATTTCAACTAAAAGTAATTAAATGAACTTTAGAATTATTGTACAAAAAAAGTAAGTTTTTTTTTTTTAAATAAAAGAAAGATCAACTGTATTTTGAAGAAATTAGATTTTTATTTTAAAGTAAATTTTATTTTTATCTTATAGATAATAGATAATGGATCCAAATATTGAAAGCGAGTTATTAAATGCCATTAGTGATGATTTTTTAATTAAGCAATATAAAGATATTGTTGATCAACAAATTGAAGCACAAGGGTTTCCTAAATTGTGTAAAAGGTGGTATTGTTTTTTTTATAAACTGTTTTATATTAGTAATTATTATATAAGGTTTTAACTTTATAAGCAAAAAAAAAAAAAAAAAAAAAAAAAATTAAAATATTGTTGTTCCCATTGTAGTAAAGTTGACTTGAAAAAATTTCTTAATGCAAAAAAGCTTCAATATGTTATATAACACCATGATATTGATTGTTGTGTAATGATGTTGTGTAATGAAGATAAAAAAAAATTGCAACTAATAGTAAAAAAAATATTTCTCTCATAATAAGAGATGTTGAATGAGCAACCTATATCTTCTTTTTAAATAGCAGTTATAAAAATCAAGGATATTACTTAACATTAAAACCACTACTACATCCCATCTCCCCACCCCCACACATCCCACTCCAACCCATCCACCTTCATAAAATTAGGCTGGTGAAAGTAATATTAGTTATAAGTTCATGTAATGTGTAATATAATACTGAAAACATATTAAAAGAGATGCATTTTCTAAGATCAGTATTTGAAACAGACTTTTATTACTTATTCTCTTCTTGACATTTAGGCATGTCGTATTATTTCTTATCTATACTTTTATTTCTATATTATCTTTACAAAAATTATATCTTTAAATATAAGGTACAGTTAGTTCCCATTAAATCGAATACTGGTTAACTCTAACTTTTGCTATCTTGAGCTGTTTCATTTGGTCCCTTGAAATCATCTTATTTGTTACTATTAAAAATCTCCGGTTAAGTTGAACCTCGGATAACTCTAGCTTTGTTAAGTCAAACAATTTTTTTTTCCATTTCTATCGAGTTTCTTCAGTTAACTTGAACTTTTCTTATAAGAAATTTGAAATCCAAATAACTTTCATTCCATATAAGACATAAATAAATATAATCTAATATTTTCTATAGTTTTTTGTTTTATTTAGATATGAATAGAATAGTAATTAGATCTGAATAGAAGTGATCATTATCAGATGCAAAACAGTGCAATAATAAAAATTACAAAATAAATCTTCATAAAATAAATTTAAAAAAGCAATTTTTTGAAATTTTTAATAAATATCTTTATAAAAGATTTCTAGCTTTTAGATGCAATTTTATTAAAAAATAATAGGGAAGTCATTGTGTTGCTGAAATTTTTAAAATTTTATCTTTTTGTTAGTGTACAGAACAAATACAATACACAACTTTTTTTACTGGAACATTTTTGACATTTTGTTAGTATAATCCCGATGACACATAGGGGCTGGGGGGGGCACTGGTCCCTCCACTTTTTTTCTAAATGACTTTGACAATTGTGCCCCATCACTTTAGAACCTGTGTTGTCGAACCTGTAATGGTGTATATTTAATGCTTATACTTGAGCATTAAATAAAGAAAAATTGTCTTAACTTGAACTAAAACCACATATCATTCAAATCTTAACTGAACTAAAAACGCATAATCACATTCTCACACATAATCACAATAATGTCTAATAGTTTGCAGTAATAAAGTTGTTAGCTTTTAGAATTAAAGGAATTGCACTGATGTATTATTAAAGAGGTTTTGAAAATTGTATCAAACTACTTTTAAATTATCACATTTTTACACTTTTGCAACCAAATGTTTCTATATTATTAAAAATCTAAAAATTTATAGAAATAAAGCAAATTATAAATTAGAACGAAGCTTTTTGTTTTATAAAGTCATAATAAAATGTAGAAGTCATCAACAGGGCTGGTATAACCATTAGGCGAACTATGTGGCCACCTAGGATAGCAAGTTTTCTAGGGAGGCACTAAAAGCTAGCTCCATTAAAAATAAGAAGTATCAACTTTAATACTTTTTTATTTTATTTTATACTTTTAATGCAGAATGAAATTTTTTAAGTAATTCATACAATGTTAAGTTGGCTGCAGTATTATGTAAGTAATGACTCTGTGCATAGCTTCTGCTGCTAGCTGTTTACCAGTAGCACAATAACTGTGTCATCCCTTTATTCCAATGATTCACATGATTGGAAAAATATCTCCGCAATTCCGTCAGGGCATGAGAAAAGCAGTGAATGTCTAACGAATTTTTAGTCATGGAAAAAGTTTAAGCTGTGACTACGAAAAAATAAAACAATTGATGCCTAACATTTGCATCTTGTTAAAAAAGAAAGAACAGTATTGGCAGCAGTTCTTTAAATGGCTGACAGCTTTAGTTTGTTTTTTTTGAAAAGAAAATAAGAAAAACTTTTTAAAATTTGTGTAACTTCTAGCTTTGTTTGACCCACTTATGGATGAGCAACTTTGAAATATTATTAAAAATAAGACAATTGAAAATTTAGATGTCAATCCCAGAGCATTATTTATTTCTTACAGTGCGTACACATTGAATATGGCTGGTAATAATGCTGTTAAATGTTGCTTAAAAGCAACAGCTTTCTTTGATCTTGTACAACATGTATATGTATTCTTTTCTGCCTCAGCTTGTTGCTAGAAAGTTTTAACTCAGTATGTTTCTAAACAAACTGTTTAACCACTGAATGAAACAAGATGAGAAAGTTGTATTGATCCTTTAAAACCTCTTTGTTATCAACTTGATGATATTTATAATGCTCTGGCAGATATTGTGGGCAAAACAACTTAAATAGGAGCATCTGATAATTCAACAAAGGTAGATTTACGATTTAGAGAAATTGCCATTTCTATTTTAAAGTTTGTTGTTTTTCTGGTTGTGTGGTATGATGTGTAGTTAAGATCATAATGGCTAATAAGCAACTTCAGACAAAAGAATTAGATATGCATGGCACCTCAAATTATCTTGAAAAACAAAAAGGTTTCTTGTAAATTGCAATGGAGTTTAAGAAAACACTTGTAGGTGGTGATGAAATTGTAATCAGTTTAGAGATACCTACACTTTTCGAACCCAAATCAACCCGTTTGCAAACAATAAGTTTATTGTTTGGTTTTCTCTATGATCTTCACAGTTTAAAGAGTGTAACTAGCAAGGAAGTTATGGAACATTGTTTGGATTTTGAGAAAGTTTTGCTACATGGAGACTCCAAAGACAATTCACATTGCCACAGAGTTTGCTAAATATTATATTAAAAAAAATAATCTAACAGATTGTGTCCCCAATAGTAAGTGACCAGGGCCCCGGCCCTAGCATCATCCTAGCCCCAGCTAAAAATGAGATTTTTTGGCAAAATTGTAAGATTTAGCAGGGGTTGATAGCCGGGGCTAGAAATAAATTTATAATTCTTTATATATTATAATTTTATACATACATTTACTATTTATTAAATTCTGGCATATACATGCTATTATTTAAAAAATAGAGATACAGTAAAAGGATACAACTTGTTAAAGACGCCAAGCAAGAATGAGTTTTGGTTTATTGCAATAGAGTGATAGTTTGTTTGAGGATTGACCATGATTATAGAAACAGCATAAAAGAGGAAGGTTAAAGCCTACTGCTGTTGCTGCTGATGATGATGACTATAATGATGATGATGATAATGATGGTAATGATGATGATGATGATGATGATGATGATAATGATGATGAAGATTATGATGATCATGATTATGATGATGATGATGATGATGATGATGATGATGATGAAGATGATGATTATATCAATCATAATGATGTTTATAAATGCATGTATATACAAAATCAAACATAAATAAGAAGTACTTTTGGATGTATAAATGTTTATTCAGCCTCGGTCACAAACCCAGCCCTGACCCCGGCTAAATTTTATCAAACACGACCCTGGCTCTGGACAAATATTAACCCCAATACTGTTATAGCTCTCAGAATCCTCTTGACACTTCGAGTTTCTGTGGCAAGCAGTGAAGCTTCTCTAAACTTTTTTTCAGGTCATGTTATCCTGCTACTGGTAAAATGTAACCCAGTACAACCTGCTTTATATCCTGCTGCCTTAGGATACACTTTTTTAGGCCAAGACTAGGAGATGCCAATTCTGATTTAACACTCTCCCTGCATTTGGGGTTCTTGGTTAAGTAAAGGTTAGAGATAGTGTCTTGATAAAAATACTCATCTTGGGCTGTTGCCCAAGATGAGTATTTTTGCATCCTGCTACTGTGTTGTAGAAGGATTTCTAGGAAAAGACTTATGGAGTAAACAGATTCTATCTGTTGACCAACTTTGCACCCCTTCTTCATATGTAAAGCTGTCATAATATATTTATAATACAATGTTTCCAGTTTAGGATGTTGAATGCTGGATCTCCTTGGCCTGATGCATGGGTTTGCTTATGTCTTTGTTTTTATGACTAGGCAGCTCAAAATGCTATTATCTCCTAACAATGGTATAGCTCTAAAGCTCAGTTTTATGGTTCTGAGGCTAACTGGAATATTTGTGGTCTTCAAAGTAAGGGGGCATCTATAGAGTACATATACGGTAAAACCACTGATTTAGGACCCCCTCTTCCTTTTTGTACAAACCTGTACACTTTCAAAGACCCCCTCCTCCGCGTACAATGTACGCCATACATACATTTTTTTTTTCAAAAATAACCCCCCTCCCCTTCCACAACGCATAAATATTTCAAAACATTAAAAACAAAAAAAACATTTATAAACATTTCTCTTTACTTCATTGAAACTTAAAATGTTACTTAATATACTTATTTAAATCTTAAAAGGTTTCAACATAATTTATCATTTTAATCTTAAAAGGTTTCAACATATTTTATCATTTTAATCTTAAAAGGTTACAACATATTTTATCATTTTAATCTTAAAAGGTTACAACATATTTTATCATTTTAATCTTAAAAGGTTACAACATATTTTATCATTTTAAGAGAGATGATAAAAACCAGCTTGCGTATATTAATTTTAAAAATGAATTCAAAAAAAGTTTGCTTTTATTTGGCGTCTTTTTGTTTCTCATCTTTCTACCAATCAAATTATGTTGCGAAAAATAAAAAATATTATTTGGAATGATTGTTGCTCAATTTCTTTTTTCTCTCCTTTTTACTTATAAAGAAATTTTAAAAAAATATTGTGACTTAAGTCAGAAAAAAAAAACAGATTACTGATGTTTTATACATGTGAAATTCAATGTTTTGAAAATAATAAAAATTAAAATTAAGTTTAGGAGAGATAGTAAAATTGTGTACATAATCGCTGTCTTTAACAACCCCTCAACCCTTGTACATGTTTGTACACTTTTGGGAAACCCCTCCTTCTTGCATACTTGCATATGCACTTTATGGATGGCCCCTAATTTTTTTTCTCTTGGTTCTTATCTCTTGCAAAATTTACCAGACATACTTGCTTTTTTTGAGACTAATTTGAATTCGGCTGTCTCATCTTGTGATCTTAGAGTTGATTGTAATCATCCTTTAATTTGTAAAAACACATGCAATAGTCACATGTTTGGTCTAGGCATTTATATTTGTAAAAAGAACTCACCCATTTGTCAGGAAACTAAGTTTAAACCAAAAACTATTCTTTTATATACTTTTGTTTAGTACCACTTCACTCTATCAATTTTTTTTTTGTTTAATATTGCTCTTCCTTATCTCAAGAATATCACTTTTTTCGATTTTATTTTTGATCAGATTGACCAAACCCTTTCTCTTTATCCTTCAGACAATATCCTTGTTGTCTGTGACTTTAATGCTCATCACACTGAATGGCTTGGTTCTACTGTCAGTGACTCTTCAGGAGTTAAGGGCCACAACTTTTGCTTTTCTTTATATTTAACACAAATAATCAACTTTCTAATTCACTTTCCAGACAATCCATATCAATTACTTTTTCTACTTGACTTATGTCTTGTTTCTGATCCTAGTAAGTTCTCAGTTTCTCCACATGTACCCTTACATGCTTCTGATTATGGTTTGATCTTTCTATAACTATTATTTCATGTTTCTTCATCATCAGAATCTCCCTATCATCTTACCTCTGATAACTACCTTATAGCTGACTGGGACTCTCTCCATGATTTTCTTTTCAGATGGTCCTTGGTTAGAAATCTTTTGTTTTTCTGCTGACAAATGTACTTCTTATGTAACTTCCTGGAATCAGACTGGCATTAGCAATTGACAAAAAAAACAACTTAAACTGATAAAATCTTTTTAACAACGTCTATGTAAAAAGAAAGACTTGTTGGATAAGCTACTCTGTCAAATGAACATGATATTGCTAAAAATATTGAACTGACAGAACTCATTTCTACATTATTTAAAACAAAAGCCAAGTTTGAAAAAGTGAAGTTTTAAAAATACATTATTAATATGTTATGCTACACAAGTATAGTCTTATATATGGTTATGCATGTATGTATTATTCTGAATGTAAATACATATTGTATTAACATAACTTTAGCATTTTTTTGTGAAAGTTAGTTTTGCTTCCCCCTTACTTAATAAGAAATACTAATAAAGTTTACTTTTTTCGAAATTATAAATTTATAATAATGGTTCTTTTAAACAACACCAAAACATTGTGTGAGTTACCATATAACAATAATGCTTAATTATAGTTAACAAAATAGTTATATTGGTCTCTCTTTCATATTTTATTTTATTTATATATTGATATTTTTTTAGAGCTATCACAAAAGAAGTAAAAGAAGCAGTCCAAAAAATTAATAGTAAGTTTCATAATTATGTTAAACTTATTAAATTATAAGCCTAAAAACAAATAAAAAATTAAAATGTAAAGATTTCATGACTCATGACACTAGTGCATAGCTAAAAGATATGTAAATTATAAAAACCATAATGATTATTATATTGTAATCTAATATCCTAATTCAAATCTAAGACAATTACTTAAAAGCTTTGAAAATATGCAACAATATCAATTTGAAAATTGTCATTGTAGTAAATGATTAATAAATAACAAAACTTATAATTTTGAATTTTTGATAATAATTTGATATTAATAAAAGGCATTTTGACAAGCTTCACAGGGCCCATTAAAGGGAGGAAGGGGACTTTTTCATAAAATATGAAAAAGAGACCTATATAACTATTGTGTTTACTATAATTAATCTGTCAAGATTTGTCACTAACAAAGTTTAAATCTTATGGTAAAAGCATGAATAAATGCAATAAAGGTATAATGGCCTTTACTGTATATTCATTAGAAAATTTTTACATTTACATGACCTTCTTAGTGTTTCTCTTGGTATCTTAAATTATATTGCCACCTTCCTTATTGGTTTTCCCTCATTAATTACTGTCAAAGCCTTCTCAACCATTTCATAAGAATAATTGGAATATTGTCTTGCACCTAACTGTCTATTGTATTTCCTTGGCATCTAAAAAAAAAAAGTTTATGTGATATAGTTGTCTTCATAAGTTACTATTACAAAATAACTGTTTTAAAAATTTTAAATATATGTGACCCAAATTACCCTAAAGACCTCATTTCTTAAAAAAGGATTTTAACTTAATCCTCTTAATTACTACAGTTATAATATT